TTTGTATGGAGCTACTTTTGTTGTTGTTACTGACAATAACCCTCTTACGTACATTTTGTCGTCAGCTAAGTTGGATGCTGCTAGTCATCGGTGGCTCGCTGCTCTTTCCACTTACAGCTTTTCTCTTCAGTATCGCTCTGGTAAACAAAACATAGATGCAGACGCATTGTCCAGACTACCTTCAGAACCATCCCCTGACCCGTACTCTGACAAAGATTTCATTCATCACTTCACTCGTGAACATAGTCACTCAGGCATGGAAGTTTCACCTGAAAGTGTTGCTGCTATTTGTCATAGTTTTCTTTGTCGAGCGAGTTCCATTTCAGAATGTTCTCCAATCACAGTCTCTGAGCATGACAGTCGAAGCTCTTCCTGACTGTTTCAGTGATGAGGGTCAGCATGGATTACCAATTGTCCAGGAGTTTTCCCCGCAGGAGCTAAAGGAAAACCAAAGATCCGACCCAGTAATCCGGGAAGTCATCCATCAAATAGAGACTGGAGAAAAAGTTCCCGGTGGGGTGAGACAAGAACTCCCTGAACTCTCATTACTGCTTCGTGAGTTGACTCGTTTGGAACTTAGAGATGATGTCTTGTATCGAAAGAGGCGTGAGGGTGAAGAACTCCAACTCCAGCTTGTTCTTCCCGAACAGTTAAGGTCTCGTGTACTCCATAGTCTTCATAATGACATGGGGCATATGGGCATGGAGCGAACGCTCGATCTTGTTCGATCCAGATTTTTCTGGCCCCGTATGTCTGTGGATGTTGAAACAAAGGTTCGAACTTGTGAGCGATGTGTCAGGCGAAAGACGATGCCTGAAAGAGCTGCACCTTTAGTCAACATTTCCACTACACGGCCGCTCGAGTTGGTCTGTATGGACTACTTGTCGCTCGAACCTGATCTGAGTAACACTAAAGATATACTAGTGATTACAGACCACTTTACCAAGTTTGCTGTAGCTTTACCAACGGCGAATCAAAAAGCAAGGACTGTAGCCCGATGTCTATGGGAAAATTACATTGTTTTCTATGGCATTCCAGAACGTCTTCACACGGACCAAGGTCCCGATTTCGAGTCCCAGCTTATTAAAGAACTTTGCCAGATCTCCAACATTGTAAAGACAAGAACTACACCTTATCACCCCCGGGGAAATCCCGTGGAACGATTTAACAGAACATTACTTGGTATGTTGGGGACACTCGAACCAAACCAAAAGAAAAGATGGAAAGATTACGTGAAGCCACTTGTTCATGCGTACAATTGTACAAAGAACGAAGTCACCGGGTTTACTCCCTATGAGTTAATGTTTGGTCGTTCACCTAGGCTTCCTGTTGATCTTGCATTTGGACTACCAGTAAAGGAAAGGAGGACAAAATCGTATTCACAATATGTTGAAGGCTTACGTTCCCGACTTGAACAAAGCTACAAATTGGTTTCAGAGAGTGCTGAAAAGTCTGCGTCCAGGAACAAAGTCCGTTTTGATAAACGAGTGATCCCATCTAGTTTGGAACAAGGGGATAGAGTCCTTGTCCGCAATGTAAAACTGCGTGGAAAACACAAGTTAGCAGACAAGTGGGAAAACGACGTTTACGTTGTCCTCAGCCGTGCCGGTGATTTACCCGTGTACACCGTAAGACCGGAGAGAGATGTTCATGGAAAAACTAGGACACTCCATCGTGATCTTTTACTCCCCTGTGGGTTTTTACCAGTCGACACTTACTCTGACACTTCAGTATCCACCCCTCCTCGTAGGCCTGTTACCCGCAGTCAGCCACAAGAGGAGTCCATCGAGTTGGATGATGATGATGATGAATATCCGGGTATATTGTACATTGCAGATCACTTACCCGACACTTTTAGATCTGAAAATGTTACCGAAGCAAGTGAACCTCTGAGTACGGCACTGCCTTCCAGCGTTGAAATCCCTTTACCTGCCTGTTCCGAAAATCCATCTGTGCTGCGTGCCTTACCTGAGCTTGATGAATCTGCTACCTCTAACACCACTAGGCTGTCCACAGACAATCCCGAATACTTACCAGAAGATCCTGAGTCTGTACCTGAAGAAGATGAAGTTGATGGTCCTGTGGAAGAAGAGTCCTGTGGCCAGGTAGAGACAATCGCTAGTACCCCCGAGGTTAATATTGAGCAATCTGTTGCCGAACTCGATCCTGAGCAATCCGTTGCCGAACCCGATCAGTCAGTTCGTCGCTCTTCAAGGACGCGACAACCGCCTGACCGTCTTCGTTATTCCGTTCTCGGTGCCCCACTTATTTCTGTGGTACAAACACTGCTTCATAGTTTAGCAGATGTGTATGGTGAGGTGTTTACCACCAAACCTGTACGAGTTTCTGACATTGACTCACCCGTCCATGTTAAGTAACATGCACACGGAGGTGCATGATCTTAAGGGGGGAGGGTGTAACGCAGGTGTCAATTTGACAAACTATTATCTTGAGTTGATTTTTATCTTTGAGTGTGACGTCACTGCGTTTGAGACGTTTACCCAATCCGTGTTCGATATAGTCCGCTATGCCGGAAGTATCAGTACTTGCGAGAGCAGAGCGTGCTTTGGATGTGCTGCGGGAGCCGACTGCCTTTCTCTCATGCGTTACGAAACTGCCGCGTATGTCAGAGTTTGCAGGGTGGTGCAGCGGTTAGAGCTTGTGCCTCACAGCAAGAAGGTCCTGGAGTTTGGATGTTCTCTCTGCCTGCACAGGTTCCCTCTTGGTGCACCAAAAAAACATGTACTTTATGTATGAATGTCATGAGTGAGTGAATAGATGGTGTTGGTTGGAGGCTTTGATGATCCAGTGTGTTTGGCGTTTCACTTCGGTTGTCACAGTGAATGAAAAAATATCTGAACTCTTGACATTGTAAAGCGCTTTGGGTGACCTTGACTCTGTAGCTCTGTAAAATGTGCTTTATAAATAAACATTACTTACTTACTGCAGATACACTGCCGCTGTTGAACGGTCACACTGTGCAGACATCCTTCCAGCAGAGCAACTCATCAAGTATCAGGCTCATGTCCTCAGTGGCATTCGTTTTTTTTTAACCAATTTGCCTTCAATATTTCACCATTTTGTTGTATTGAATAACATTTGCTATTCACAAACATTATGAGAAGGCTGTCTTTTGCCAATTAATATGTATTGTACTGGTATAGGTATTACGCCACCTTGTTTTACCCAAAATGTGTAAATAAGTTTGTAATCTTTATTGATTTAGTGTCTTTCACAAAGCGCTTTAGAATTTGTCCTCTCACTCCTCACACAGATAGAGAGGGGTCGCCAGTCCCCTACATGCCAGACCTATTGTCTTAATGGTCTTGGGCCTTCTTATCTTTCAGATTTGCTTTTATCCTATGAACCTTCCCGGCCCCTGCGCTCCTCCGGCAGCAGACTCCTAACCATCCCCAAAGTCAGGACACACACGCACGGCGAGGCATCTTTCCAGCACTACGGCCCCCGTCTCTGGAACAGTCTGCCGGAGGAGCTCAGGGCCGCAGAGAACATTCATATTTTTAAAAGTAGGCTCAAGACGCACCTTTTTAGATTAGCTTTTGATTAGTTTTTAATTTTTTTATTCCATTTTATATATTCTATTTATCTTCTATTATTTATTATATTGCTATTCCTATTATTCACGTATTGTGTGATAGTTCCTTTTAGTCTCACATTTTAGTGTTTTACTTACAGTATTGTATTGTTTTTAGTATACCCAGTGTTTCCTCTGGAGGAGCCTGCTGCACTGGGAGCTCTTGGACCTGGTGGGGGTCTGGGGCCTCGGTTTCATGTCTCCTCTGGGTCCTGTGTCGTCCCCTGTGGCTACGGGCGGCTCTCTGCTCCTGGTGCAGACGGCTCCTTGGATGACGCTTTTTCAGCTGGTTGCATCTGAACCCTGCCAAGTCTCTCATCATTGTTTTACTGTTTTACTGGTGCGTGTGTGTGTGAGTGTGTGAGAGAGAGAGTGTGCATGGGAGCGTGTGTGTGTTTGTCTGTGGTTTGGGGTGGGTCTGTCGGGTGGTCTGGGGGAGGGGTCTTGGGCCGGCGGGATTGTTTTTAACCAAACTGTAAAGCACTTTGTGTTGCATCTTTTGTATGAAAAGCGCTTTATAAATAAAATGTGATTGATTGATTGATTGATATTGTACATGTTTTGAAACTGGAGCACCTGTAGGAAACCTATGCAGAAAATGTAAACCAGAGAATCGGATCGGATCGGAGGATATTATCGGATTTGTTAAATATCGGGGAGTTCACATTTACAAAGTTCACACACTGGTTAAGTACTGGCTTTTTGTGGTCATTCAGTTATGTACCAGCTCTTTTCTTTTTGTTATACTGAATGTTGAGGGCCGCTTTTTGATAATTGTTCCTCTTTGATATTTCTTTTATTTTTAATTTATTTTAAAGGTGAAATATTCAATACTGATGTGATTCTTACCTATGACCTAACTCAGTAGGTCTGTTAAGCAAAAGCCAAACAATATTTTTGATCATGTTATGAAGTCATACTGGTTTCAAAATTTGTAATGCTTTGAAAATATTAGAAAAAATTGGATCGGTATCGGCAAAACAATATTTAAGAATATCGGAATCGGATCGCACTCGCCACCTGCAGGAGGATCAGGAGGGGTTGGTGCTCTGTGAACTGGGTGCAGCTCTGACTGCCACCCCCCAACCCAGAAATGGATTAAGGGGAAGAAAATGGATGGGTGGATGGATGGAATCGGATCGGATTACAAAAAATCTGGATCGGTACATCCCTAATTTGAATCCAGGATCTTTTTGCAGTGAAGCACAAGCGCTAACCACTGCGCCACTGTTCTGTATCATTGAGTCATATGTCTTTATATTTATTGTGAGCTGTGCAATCATGTCGAGCAGAAGCCTGACACAAAGTAGTAAAGTTTCTGTACTAATGCAAATATACAGGAGATGATATTGAATTCAGAAATGTTTTTGTTTCAGATAGAAAGCGACATCTCCCACTAAAGAAAATGTCAGACGCCTCAGACTCAAGCTCTGGTCTCCACTCCAGGAAACCCAAAGTGGTCTCCAAGAACAGCACCTCTCCACAAGAACCCACAGCTCCGGCCTTCACCCGTAAACTGCGGAAGGCGGCAGTGGGCACAGGCTGCGACATCCGCCTCCGGGTGTGTGTGACGGGACAGCCCACGCCCGCGCTCTCCTGGTACCACAATGAGCAGCCCCTGCCCCCCTCTGAGGCCCAGGACGCAGGGGGGCTGTGGATCCGGGACTGTCGGACCACTCACGCAGGACTCTACACCTGTGTGGCCTCCAACGCGCTGGGAGAGGCCCGCTGCAGCGCCGTGCTCGCTGTCATGGACCTGGGAGAAGGTAAGCACCAGCTCAAACAGACACATCTCACAAAATGCTAAATGCGTCTTGTGTTATATTTTCAATTTGCCAACACAGATCAGAGAATCAAACAGATCAAACACACAGTAAGAAATGCAATGATACAGAACACATAGAGCCTTTGTTCCATAAGCGGCAGATTCCAATGTCCATAATATTGATCACGTCCACAAATAAGACCCTGTGGGAGAAAAGTGAGAAACCTGGGGGAGGACCATGGCCATGCGATATGTGAATGCTGAAAAATTGCGTTCTATACAAGGGCGTGCTGGCATTTTTTATTTCAAGATGGAAAACATAGGCCAAAGCAGAGGTACCTAATATCATTTTTCTATATCATTGTCATACTCATTGTCTTTTTAGAATAGATACAAGGTGATTTTAATGGAGCCATTTTTGTGTTACAATCGTAATATAGCTGATGCGCAGATGTTTCTTAGCGTTTCATAATCGTAGATCCGTACCAGCTGCACAGGGGATCTTTCAGGGCCTGCCGATGCAATACGGTTTCTCGCTATGCATGAGACTATACAATATGTAACTAAATTATTTAAATCTGTCCACGCCCTGCATACACGGCAAAATAGGCGGTTGTAGGACAGTCAACAAGCCAAAACTAATTTTGGTCAGGAGCCGAATTCAAAAAGTTCAGGCGCTGCATGGTCTTAGAAGAAAGTTATATTTTTTGTTTATCTATTTTTTTACATTTATGAAGGTTTTTTAACAAAGGGGTCCTCTGCCTAGTATTAGAACATCTATTGTGGTTAGCGGCACAGTGGCTGAGTGGATAGCACTCTAGCTTCTCAGCAAGAACGTCCTGAGTTTGAATCCCAGTCGGAACAGGGCTTTTCTGAGAGGAGTTTGTATGTTCTCCCTGTGTCTGCGTAGGTTTCCTCCGGGTGCTTCGGTTTCCCCTACCACTAAAAACATGCACAATAGGTCTGAATGTAGATGAGAGTGAATGAATGGTGCTGATTGGGGGCTGATGCTCCAGTGTGTTCGGCGACTCGCTTCCGTCTTCACCGTGTGTGGAATGATTGGAACAATATCTGAACTCTGAACATTGTAAAGCGCTTTGGGTGACCTTGGTCTGTAAAATGCACTACATAAATAAACATTACTTACTTACTTAGCCTTGGAACAGACACTGACCAAACGTGCATCTCAAACAAGAGCTGGAACATAGATAACAACAAACATACGTACAGTACATTACTTTACATTTATGTTTTAATTTGCTGATTCTCCTCATTAAATATGAAGAAGAATCCAACCTGCTTTTCTCCCACACCACACTCCTCTCTTAGACAGACCAATTGCCCATGTCTAATAAGTGACAGGTTCTGCAGAATATCCCACAGCTGTTAAATTAGCTTTCCAACCAAATGGTCAACAACACAGACTGCAATTAGAGCGTTTCGTGTGAGAACTGTCCGGCTCTGTAACTGCAAACATCCTGCTTGTAGACACAACAACACTTACATTTGCTGCACTTCACAAGCCCGCTAAGTAGCCAATAATACACACAATCAGCAGTTCAATTAAATTATTTCGTTTTTAAGAACACAGAGAAAACTAGTTCGTAGTGCAGTATCTTGTCCGAGGTCACAACTTCCGCTTGTATTTGTCTTAAGGAGCAAAAAACTGCTTTCACTCAATGTAGTCCCCTCACCTTTTAGTTTTGTTTTTATCATTTAGTTTACTCTATGACATTATGCTAATCTTTTGGTGATTTACAACAGGAAGCCTGATTCATTTGTGTTTCTCTCTCTACAAAGCATACCATATACTAATACTGTAATAGATTCTCTTAATAATAATAATAATAATACAACAACCTGCCAGGTGTTCACTGTACAATTTATTTCTCTATTCGTATTTGGGGGTGATCCACTGCAAGACGTGAAGAAAGTATAATTGTAAGAAAAGAAGCTGTCGCACAGTCATTAAACAACAGGTTTCTCTCCAGCACATTCTGAGCTGTGATGGTCTCTTCCTACGCTTTGTTACGATCAATTGGCCAATTTTTCCAATAATCAACATTGTCAAAAAGATCACAGTCGACAGCGCTCTCATTCTGATTGAAAGCCACATCGAACGCACAAGAATGGGGTTCTCTCTCCGTTCCCACATGAGAAAGCTGTGCTGCCAATCCTTTCCCTGTATAAACATCTGTGCTGTCCTCTGAGGGCGTGCGTCTATGTGTGTGTGTGTGTGTGTGTGTGTGTGTGTGTGGCAGCATGTGCATGCAAAGACCCGTTGGATGAGACCTGGTTTAGACCGGGTTCAGGCGCTTGGTGCGTGGGAAGCAGAAGCCGTGCGTACAAACAGATGATTGGTGAGTTAGATCCAGTTTCTGTCTGCTTGGGGGGGGTCCAATACATTCCTGGAGAGAACCTTGTACAATCAGTCGCAGAAACTTTCAAACACATTTTACCAGCGCTGTGTTGTAATTGGAAAAAAAATGTTTGAATAGACTGAAGGTAGTAGAAATATGTCCATAGGCCTAAAGTGGTAGTCTTACAAGGTTTGCCCTGTTAATGGACCGGGTCATCAACGTGCACAGCTCTGTGACGTTAGCCCTGCGCACAAAGTTGCCTCTGCACAAATCTGCAGCTAAGGGATTTTAAAAAAGGCTGTGGAATTTCTGAACAGGCCGAGAGCATAAACAATGAATATAATGTAATCAACCCAGAGCTATAATACTATGTTAATTCAGATTTCTATTATAAGGCCTAACAATGTTTCAAAAGTAGACTTTCTCATCCAGGCGCACATTCATGCATTTACAAAGAGGACACATGTTCCTCCGTCCTCTCCAAGTGTCACAGCTGCTTCTCTCTGCTCCTCTTCACCATCGTACCACACCTGCATCTCACTCTCCAGGGTCCTTTACACTATTAACATATTGTAGTTAATGTTGTATTGGCCTGTTATATGTTCTGTTTACTATTTGGCCCATGGCCTAATGTATCTGATTGACTATATTCATGTAAAAACATTATATCTTACATATATCAGACCTATGTCTGCGTAGGTTTCCTCCGGGTACTCCGGTTTCCCCTACCACTAAAAACATGTACAATAGGTCTGGCATGCGCCTCCTGTTCGGCGACCCCGCTCCCATCTCTGTGTGGAGTGAGAGACAAGTGCCCAAAAATAACAATTGTAAACCGCTTTGTGACTCTGGTCTGTGAAAGGCGGTATATAAATAAAGATTACTTACTATTATATATATATATATATATATATATATATATATATATATATATATATATATATATATAATTAGGGATGTAAAAAACTATGAATTTTCATGACCGACCACCGAGCCTCAGTAACCGGTTGAAACCGGTTAACCGCGTAGTTTAAAATAGTCCACGTTCTTTGAAATAACAGCCATTTCGAGCCGCGTACTTTTCATAAGTGCAGCTCTGCGTTCTACGGGATCAGAGCCGAGACAGCGGCACCAAAACCCGCAACAGCTCCGGCACCTTTGCGCACAGAGAACTGCTGTTTTAATCTTCCCATTCTTCTGTGCTGCGGCTTAAAGCATTTTTAAGCAAAAGACAGCTCGTCCACATGGTCAGGGCAGCGAGTGACGAGCCGCGTCTCGCAAGTCTCCGCTAAAGTTTAAAAGTGATCAGTGTGGAGCTGATGCCAAGGACCAGCAGCACAAACATGGTCCATGTGGTTTGACTGGAGCCGTGTATTTTCAAGAATGCTTTGGGCTCCGTGACACAGAGGAGCGCGACAGACCGGTATGTGTGTGTGTGTACAATACATGTATGTATGTGTGTATATGTCTGTGTGTGTGTATATGTAAGCTATGTGTGTGTGTGCAATACATGTATGTATGTGTGTGTAAATGTAAGCTCCAATGTAGTTCTGACCCGCACCAGTGTGCAACTAGCAGACGGTAACACAGGGGAGAGATGATGCGTGTGGATGTTACGTGTCAATGGAGGGGAGGAAAATGTGTGTGTGTGTGTGTGCGTGTACATGTGTGCGTGCATATGTGGCGCGTACGGCGTGAGAGTCGGCCCAGAGTTTACTGTTACATTGGCGCACACAGCTAGATAGGGACCCGCTCGTCACATCGTGCAAATAGGGCTTAAAATAGCGTTATGAAGAGACCTCCCCTCTCCCCCTTTTCTCTTTTTTAACCGACAGCTTTGACCGGTTAACGCTGTGACGGTCAACCACCGGTTAAACGGTCACCGATTTACATCCCTAATATATATATATATATATATATATATATATATATATATATATATATATATATCAATATTTATTTTGACCCTCAGTGTGTATTCATCAGATTTTATGTATTATATTTTCCAGGATTTCTAGTTATGAAAGCTATTTGTCATAACACTATAGACTATACAATACTATACTATTTTTTATTTAATCTTTATTTATCCAGGAAAGTCCCACTGAGACCAAGAACCTATTTTTCAAGGGAGTCTTGGACAAGAGGCAGCAAACGTTACACACATTACGAACACTTTCATACACACACAAATGATAAAAACAGTTACCCTCAGTGTTGCACAACACACATCATTAAAAAATGGAGATGACACGAGCTGTACTAAAATAAGGGATTATTTTAATTCACACCACAAGATGTGATGTTTCGGGCAAAACTACCCTTCATCAGACATAAAGAAAGCAGGCTACACACCTGTATATGTACACACAAGGATTCAATACAAATGTAATCAATGAAAGAACCACAGCACACAAAAAAACATATACATATTAACACATTTACACGGTAACCATTTAGTCCTGGAGGATTGACCCGCTGTGGGATAGAACTGTATTGATTTAAAAGTGAACCATGCACTGTATATGCTTAGAATGTAGATTTTATGATAAAGACATATATGTATTTTTTGTGCTGTAGATCTTTGTCATCATATTAAATCTTTATTGATTACTCTTTTATTAAAAAACGTATCATTGTGTTAGACACGTAACATGTGTGTGTGTACGTATACAGTTGTGT